CGGCCAACTTCCGAGGGCCGAGCTTCTTGCTGAAAAATGCAATTGGCTGTTCTAATTGCAAAAGGACCGCGCCCACCCCCGTTGCACACGCGTCCGTCTCAATCACAAATAGTAAGGAGAAATCCGGAAGACGTAGGACTGGGGCACTGGACATGGCTGTTTTGAGTTTGTCGAAGGCGTTGGCAGCGGCTGGAGACCATGTGAATGCTTCATGCTTCAATAAATCCGTGAGGGGGGCAGCAATATGGGAGTAATGGCGAACAAAACGCCGGTAGTAACCTGTGAGCCCCAAAAAACCTCGTAGTTGCTTTAAGGTTGTTGGCGTCGGCCAAGCCGTCATTGCCTCTATCTTGGATGGGTCGGCCTGGAGAACCCCGTCCATGATGATATGCCCCAAGTAGGAGATCGAAGCAGTGCAAAAGATACATTTGGAAGGTTTGACATAAAAGTGGTTTACTTGCAAAAGAGATAACACCGTGCGTAGATGACCGGCATGTGCATCCATGGTAGGGCTGTAAATTAAAATATCATCAAAGAACACAATCACAAACTTCCGTAAGTACGCAGTGAAGAGCCGATTCATGCAGGCTTGAAAAGTGGAAGGAGCATTCGTCAAACCGAACGGCATGACGAGGAATTCATAGTGCCCCTCATGTGTTCGGAAGGCCGTCTTGTAAATATCAGTGTCACACATCCGTATTTGATGGTACCTGGATCTCAAATCAAGCTTTGTAAAACAACGTGCACCGCCCAATTCATCAAACAATTCGTCGGCCGTTGGAATGGGAAAATGATCCGGGATAGTGACGGCGTTTAATGCGCGATAATCCACGCAAAAGCGATATGACCCATCCTTTTTTTTAACAAGTAGCACGGGGGAGGAAAACGAGCTGCGGCTCGGCTGAATAAAACCCTTGGCCAACATTTCTTGGATTTGGCATTCGATCTCCGCTTTCTGAAAGTGGGGGTAACGATAGGGCCTGACGTTGACGGGGGAACTGCCGGGGTGAAGAAAAATCCGATGATCAGCACTCCGTCGCGGGGGTAAGTCTTGCGGCTCTTCAAAGACCTGTGCAAATTCCGCCAGTAGGGGCTGGATTGGTGCTGGCAGTGGAGTTCCGTCTACCGCCGTGTCAGGTTGGGCTCCCAAAAAATAAATCTCAAAGTAAGCCGCGAACTCTTGCCGGCCATGCAACAAATTAAGAGTGTGTGCATTGATCCCCTGCGGTGCAGAGATACCCCCCTGGAGCGAGACCAACTTATCACGCCAAGTGAATTCCATCTTCATGGACGCATAATCATGAGTTACCCGGCCAAGCTGCTGCAACCACTGGACGCCAAGAACCACATCTTGCCCGTGGATTGGGAGAACAAAAACATCAACCGAAAAGAGTGTGCCCTGAAGGAAAAGAGGTAACACCGCACAACGTTTATCACACGGCAAGGAATCGCCATTCCCCACATACACCCGAAATGGTGTCACCATAAAAACCGGAAGTTGAAGCTTAGAAACAAGGTCCGGATGGAGGAAGTTATGAGTGCTTCCGCCGTCGATGAGCACCTGAATATCGGTTTGATGAATCCGGCCTGCCAAACGCAAAGAGCGTGGGGCGGGTGCACCGTCCATGGTGTTCAAACTAGAGATATCAGCCGTGATGGGAGGAATGTCGGTGGCGGAATCCTCGGGAAGCTCCTCGTCATCGTCGTCACATAAGAGCAAGAAACGCCCACATCGATGCGTTTTAGACCACTTTTGGTCACAATTATAGCACAGACCCTTAGCCCGACGTTCCAAACGCTCGGCCCGAGGTAGCCGGCGTACATGAGCGGAACCACCAACGTCGCCGACTGGTGTAGGCGTGGCAGCCTTGTCCTCTTGTGTACTCGGGCGTGTGGATGTGGGAAAAACCTGAGGTGGCAGGGATGAATTCCAGGATTGTTGGCGTGGCGACACCGATTGGAGTAACGTGGAGTGCTTAGCCTCGAGTTCCCGAGCCAATGCGAAGGAGGAAGATAGTGTGGTGGGTTTTAACAGGGCAATTTCGTGGCGTAAGTGAGGCTTGAGACCCGCATGAAACAGAGACAGGAGATTAGCTTCCGAGGCACCCGTGACGTGCTGCATAATATTCTCGAAGGCCGTTTGATATTCCATAACAGATCCTGTCTGACGGAGGTTAGCTAACTGGCCAAAATAATCAGCATAATACATGGGATCAAACCTGAGCTTAAATTTGTCCACGAAATCGGCATAATCGACGATCAAATTTGCATTCATCCGCCAGCGGAACCAATCCGCCGCTGGCCCTTCCAACATGAGTGCAATGCAACGTAGGCGCTCCTCTGGTGGTGTAGTGTAGAACTTGAAGTACTCATCGGCTTTATAAAGCCAACGGAGCGGCTCCGAACCATCACACATAGGGGCCTCGAGCTTGGGTTTGGGAGTGTGACGATCTCGGAAACCCCCTCCCTGATCGCCGGTGTATTGACAACCAGAAACATCGTCTCCATGGCCTTTGCGGTTTGGGGGTAACATGGTGAGGAGGCGCTGAAATTGAAGCTCTATACGGACCTCCAACTCTTTGTGCAACTGGCCGAGAGACTCCTGCAATAACTTGACATTGGCATCCAAATCACCCTTGAGGTTTTGGATCTGCCCATGCATGGCCGCTAGGGTTTCCTCCTGGGAAGGGACGGACGGCATGGTAGGGAGGAGAAGTACGATCGGCAGTGGTGAACAACGTCAATGAGAGCACCAATGATACATCCCACGTATCGGTTGGGGAGGATCTTCGAGCGTCCTCGGACTCCTAGAGAGAGAGATAATGTAAACTAGGGTTTTTACTTGTATTCCTTCAATGCCTCTTACGAAAGGGATACATCAAGTATATATAGGAAAACCCTAATTCAACCCTAAAGATTCTACGTTATCTATCCTGACGGTTCAATAAAAGCGACGAGGTAAAGAACCGTAAAGAAACCCTCGAAGGAGCTTATAAAACG